TTCTGCCAAGCTGCAGAAGTCCCAGGAGGACGTTCACGCTAATTCTCTGAGTAACCTTTAGTTCACCCAACTATGGCACTTCTACAAGCCAAAGGCGTGTGAGTGTTTAATCCGGGGAAAAGGAGAGACTGGCATGCGTCAGTTTCACGTCTCTTTCGTGGCCAGCAATGAAATGGGCGACCGTGGGGGCGGGTTCCCCCTAGCACGTCTCTCCATCTGTTCAGTTCACGCACGCAGCCGCCGGTTCTGCGGGGCACAGGCGGCTACGCGGTGGGTCCGGAGCCCTGCGACGCCGGCTGGGCGGGGGGCTGCGTGGTCTCCTGCGGCTGCGTGGCGGCGGCAGGCGGGGAGCCGGTCTGCCGCTGGGCCTGGAACTGGGCGAGCTGCTCGGGACTGGCCGGCGTCTTCAGCAGATTGTTGTCCTGCTCCAGCTGCGAGTTCTTCTCTGTGAGTTCTTTGGTTTGCTCTTTGAGGACTTCCACCTCCTCCCAAACCGCATACATCAAATGGCTTTTCACCAGGCTTTTCATAGCTTGCTGGATTTTGTTGTCAATAGCTACCACACTTGCACCAGAGGAGCTATTGTCAAGTCTCACAGAAGCGTTTTCAGTCCCGAGCAAGGATGACAAGAAAGAAATCGAAAAATGTCTCAGTTGGTAAACTCCTGATCCATCGCCACCGGTCTACACCATTGGGATTTCATGCAATTGCAACCAAACACACCCTCGTGGAAAAAAAGAGGGAAGACCCGCGGCCTTGTTTGAGCTAGGTAAAAATCTCCTAGCGTTCTGGAGCCCGGGGACAGAGAACAGCAGCCCTAATTTAAAACAGCCCGGCTTCTGGGGCTTGGCGATCCCGGGAAGATGCGGATCCCAGTGGCGTGCAGAGATGCTTCCCAGATCGGCCGCCCGGCTCCAGTCGGCTCTAGCCCCTGGTAAATTATTTTTAACGTTAAAGTATGAAAGCCCTGAAATATCAAAGTACAAGTATACAACACCAATTGCAACAAAATAATAACCAACTTTCAATGTTTACCAACTACATAAATCAGTAACAACAGTGCAGAGTTGATATCAGATAATTGTCTCAATTAACTTTTTCTCTCCTTGTCTCACCATTCATTTTCAAGCAAAATATAATAACGCCATATATAATAATAATATAATATATGGCAACTCTGCAGCATTCAGAAACAGAATTTGCAAAGATGTTAATTCATGCCAGCGACAACCCGGATTAGAATTTGGAATGACGTAAATTCATATAAGTCATCGCAAATCAGTTAAGATCAGATTTGTCTAAAAAAAAATACAACTACAACAGTTTAAGAAAAAAATTTTTTTTACTCGTGTTACAGAGTAAGACAAAGCTCCTTCTAGCTTTTTACTTCACCATTTATTTTAGTTTATAAATACATGAGTACTGAGAGCTGCTCTACCTACAAGCAGTAAGGCCTTATTCCTGATTAGAGAGGAGGGTGGGGGAGGCAGGGGAAAAATAGAGAAAGAAAACAAAAGAAAAAAGAAAGAAAGAAGGAAGGGAAGGAGAGAAGGAGAGAGAGGTGGGGGGAAGAGAGAGAGAGAGAGAAAGAATGCAGAAAAGTTTTCATGCAAATTGAATGTTTCTTTTTATTCTCAGAAGAAATGGAATGTTTCAAGAAACCCACATAATAAGTTTTCACTTACAGTGGTTGCGTTTCACACCTACCCTGGCTATAAGAGAAATGGAAAAATTGCATAGTATGTTGTCACTTTGCAAAACATCAGAACTTTGTCATAAGAAAGAATGTAGAATGACATTTAGTAGATGCTAAGGCCATCTTCTTAGAAGAAACCAGTTGCATTGAATGTGGTGAGCATCTTCCTTGGGAGTGCTTTTAAGCCACCTTTGTCAGGTTTCACTTCCCTAGGTGGCAATCAATATTTGAAAGTCTGCAGGATAACACGAATGACTTGCCACCTTTGGTGTGGAAAAAAAGCAACAATTGTCCAAAGGCTCGGAAGCACTTTCCACAGTTCATCACCTTGGGAGTCCACCAACATATTTAATGGGTGCTACCTGGTCAGATGACTCTCATATTCTTTGCCTCTCTTTTCCAGAATGACTCTGTATTTTATGGGGGGTGGGTTCCTGATTCCAGACTGGGTTTCCCATAGATTGATGGAGAAAAGCCAGGGAAAAACCAGGGTCTTTATCTTCCTGCTTCTCAGTCTCATGAGACATCTTGGTCAATGTGCCCCAGCATCTCCTAGCTGGCACCAGTTCCCCTAAAGAGGTTCACATTCATGTCATCTTTCAAAGACTCACCCTGTCCCTGGGTTCTAATAACATTGCATCCTCTCCTTGTCTTTCCAACTGAGGGGTGGTAGTGGCTTCCTCTGGTTGCTGTAGAATTGACTGATCCTCCACTACTTTTCAAGGTCCAATAAATGTTTCAAGATTCATCAAAGTGGATGTCTTTCTTTAAACTTCACTGCAGAGATGTTCCACCACAAACTGCCCAGAGGAACAATGTGATACTGTTTGATTCTGCAACCTTTAAAAAAAAAATCTGAGAACAGTTTTGTTTGATGTGTACATTCTTAACATGATGAATAGAATTTCGAGACAAAATAGAGAGAACTTGCTTAGCTATTTGAAAGGTTGCCCATGTATTTATTTCCCCCAAACAGACCAGACTCCTAGCCTCTGACTAATGCATTTGTTACAAATGGGAGGCAGAACAAAGGATACAGAGAGTAGGGAAAAAAAGAGCAGTGAACTGTTGACTCAAATTGAGAAGAAATGTAAAATAAAAGGATTTTGCATTCTAAAGACCCACTTGAGGCTTCTAGGGCAAAATAATTGGTGTGAATTTCATAGGCTGGTTTACCAGAAATTCTATTTCAGCTTGCTTCTGAAAGTGAACTTTTAGCTTAAAAAGCAGAATATACATTTCAGCCCAAGGGAAATCTCATTTTTGTGTCCTCTTTTCAAATGAGTTTCTTAAAATAGAAGTTGTTCGCCCATACTGTAGGTTTGAATGACAATTCAGCAGTGATTCACTGGTTAAGTGTTTAACAATTGGCTCTCCAGTGGGAAAAGTCTCTGGTTTGTAGTGATTGCCATTTTATTTAGTGTAAATATTTCCCAGCTGGCCAGTTTCAGACTGCTAGCATGACAGCACTGAGCCGAGAATTGGGAAGATAGGCACATTAGCCAGCAGTGCACAGTATCATTTCAGCTAAGATGAATACAGATTTATTCAAGCAGAAACAAACAACTCCATTATCACAGAAAACAGGTAAAGTTAGTAAAATAATTAGGAAATTAAAAATCTGAAGTACTTATTCTTGTTTTATTCTATTTGCGTTGGAGACTTACTCTGTCACCCAGGCTGGAGTGCAGTGGCGCTCTCAGGGCCATCTCATCGCAGCCTCAACCTGCTGGGGTCAGGCTATCTTCCAAGCCTTCCAGGTAGCTGGAACCACACCAGCTTTTTTTTTTATTGTGGAGACGAGGTCTCACCATGTTGCCCAGGCCGGCCTAGAACCTGTGAGCTCAGGCAATCCTCTTGCCTCCACCTCTCAAAGTGCTGGGATTACAGGCATGAGCTGCCGTGCCCAGTTTCTTATTTTAATTTTTAACATACTTCATTTAATTATAATATACCTTATTAAGAGTCTGACTGTTATTTCCTAAATAAGTCAGTGACCAAAATTTATTAAAATGTTTATGTTTACTTCAACTTGATAGTAGTGATATTGGATTTACAAGTACATTATTTATTTTCTATTAAATTTTGTTTCCAATATTATAGCTGTTTTCTTTGATGCAATATCCATGTGGCATGTTCTCATACCTACCCAGGTACCCAAAGAATTAACTCTTCCTTCCTTCTGTGTGTCCACTGCTTTGAATTACATCTCCACATCAGCTTTGAAATCCACAGAACAGCTCCCTACTATGTCTAAAAACAGACCTGGGTAAAAGTGCATGAAATGTTTCACAAAACTTTTTCTCATATAATGACTAGGAGATGGAAAAAGCTATCATTTCTCTTTAAATATTCTAAGTGTAGTGAAAGGTGAGAAATAAACCTATTAAGTGAACAAAGTAAGGCTCAGTTACGAATTGCATCTCAACTATGTTAAGTTAATGTGACATCATAATAGTCTCTCTCCCAATCATGCTTTTTTGTGGTATCTCAGTTAACTGTGGCACACAATAAGAAATTGTTTTCCAGCAACAAAAGTATGCCTTTGTTTCCAAAATAACTCTTGACTTAAAGAATACAGACAGCATTTTCCCCATATTTTTCAGCCAGATGAACTAATTGGATTTTTTTTAGATGTGTGGTATATAATTCAGGATTTGACACATAAGTAGTCATCATACTGGTGACGTTTGGGTCTCCCATTGGTTCTTGTTTTGCCTGGTTTGGGATCAGGTACCCGTATTAATATTATGTCTCTCCCCCTCCCCTGGCAGTGTCAAGCTACTACCAATCCTTTTCAGGTAGTGATATGATAAATATTCAGGGTCCACTTATGAGTAAGAACATGTGGTACTCAGTTCTTTGGTTCTGTGGAAAACAGAGTAGCACTTAGCCCTTTATTCCCTTTTCCCCTTTAGTGAGATTGTTTCACATATTCAGGCTACATTTTGATTCTTTTGCCTTTATCTAATTCCGCTTCTGGGAATATACCTGGAGAAACTCAAATCATTCTACAAAAAGATACCTGTGCATGCATGTTTATTGAAGCACTATTCATAATAGAAAAAACATAGAATCAACTATGCTGCCCATTGCAAGTGGACTGGATTGAAAAAAATGTGGTATATACACATGGTGGAATATTATGCAGCCATAAAAAAGGACAAAATTATGAACTTTGCAGCAACTTGGAAGGATTTAGAGCTCATTGGATTCTTAATCCTAGTTGTGCACTATGTCTGGAGACCAAATGTTGTATTTTTACTCTGATCCTATCGATTAGAAAAGAAAGAGAACCCTCAGGTAAAGTTGTAAACAAAGGCATCACCATGATCACCCTACTTAGGAACTTGAAAAATCAGAACCAAAAATGTTCTAAATGAGTTTTTCACATTACACCTTCTTATTTCACTCAGGTCTTGCTATTGCATGCTGAAGAGGAGAAAAGTTAGAAAGTCATAAAAAACATTTCAATCCTGTTCTCAGTGGATCCCCTACTTCAGGCAAAATTGTGAAGAGGCCACTACCTATTCTTGATCTCTCACTTTGCCTTTATGAAATTCTAAGTTCAGCTTTCTTTTAAAAAGAGAATGCGTTAAAAGTTAATTCTGAATTGTGCCTATCATGGATGCTATAGAAACAAATAAACAAAAATAAGTATAATCCTTGCACCTAAGCAACCCAGAGTTTATTGGAAAGACAATCATATAACAATTCAATGATCATACAACTACTCTGATAGACATGTTCCTCTAAAACAGAATTTGGCAGACTGTAGCCAGTGTGCCAGATCAAAACTGTCTATCTGCTCTTGTAAATAACATTTTACTAAGACACGTATTTTTTATGCATGTTACCTATGTCGATTCTGCACTGCAGTGGCAGAGTTAAGTAGTTGCAACAAAGACACATCCCTCCTGAAAGCTTAAAATATTGCAGAGTATTTATTAATTCTTACTCCAAATCACAGGCTGTCAAACTTCAGCATACATCAGAATTCCTTGTAGAAAATTGATTGCTGGGTCTCAGCAATAGCACTTTTGATTCTGTAGCTTTGGGGTGGGGTCCAGGGATTTATATTTCTAACAAGTCTCCAGGTAGTGACAGTGTTATTCAGCGAACTACATTCAGAAGCACTAATGTTAGTTTCTACAAATAGTATGAATTAGTCCAATTGAAAAATTATGAAGCTCAAAGTCTCAACTTTTATTTATTTTTGTTTGATTGCTTTTTTC